CGACCCAAAATACAGCTCTACTCTGTCTTATAGGATCACTGTGAGTCAGAATTGGCTCAATGGCAGTGAGTTTTGGGGGCCCAAGAACCAGAAAGGCTTCTTCAGCATAAGGTGTTTTGTGGGCAAGCCTCTCTGCTGTTCCGAAGAGACCCACTGTCCCCATGGGAAGGGAGGTGCCCTCTTGACACTCCGGGACTCTGCTGTTGGTCTCCATGCCAACACGCCAAGGTGAATTAGACTGCCCACCTAAGAAGCCCGCCAGGGACCATGACTCCTTCCGGAAAGCCCAACCAACGGTGGCCTTTGACAAACACAGCGAGGAAGCCTGGCCCCAACAAGCCTCTGCAGCCGGGCATGCCCCTGGCCCCAGACATCAAGTTCAACACACACATGCCCTTTGGATTCACCCAAATGGAAAAGCAAAATGAGGCTGGCGGAGGTTGCGAGCCAATGATAGAAGAAGACAGAGCTCTACCTTTTCAGTACGTGATGTGACTCAACCTGACAGAGGAGCCCCAGAGGGGTAGTGAGTTAAGGTCAGCGGTTCAAATCCACCAGGGATAGAAAATGAGGCTGTCTGTCCCTGCAAAGATTGACAGCCTCGGAAATCCCAAGGAGCAGTTCTCCTCCATCCAGCAGGGTCACTGAGTTGGGACTGACTTGAAGGCAGTGGGAAGCCTGACATTTTCAGCAGGAAATGAAGTCTGGGCCCTCCTTCCCCCTGCACATGACCAGTGATAAGGGGCGTACCTGCAGCGATGAGGATGTATGGGTCCCTCAACAGGGCGGTTATCGGGGTCCCCTTCTGACTCTGCAAAGCAGGAAACAGGGTTCACAGGTGCCTGGGGCCCAGCAGCCACCACGGGGCCTCATGCCCCTTCCCCACCACCAGTGCTCACCTCTGGCTGCACCCGGGACGGCTGAAGCACCAAGATCTGAATAGCTGGGAGGGAAAAGAAAGCAGGCGTGGCCCAGGCACCCCCACCACCTGAGCCCCACCGCGGCCGCAGCGCCCCAGCGACCACTCACCTCCGTCCAAGAGAATCAAGGCAGCCAGCACCAGGAAGGGCGCCGTCTTCCCCACGAATTCATAGAGCACGCTCCCAAAGGTGGGGCCCACTGCGAGGAGGAGAAAAGAGCCCGAGCCAGCCACTGCAGGTTACCCGATAAACAAGGGAAGCACGGGCCACCCTGTGCTTACTTGCTAATCTGCAGCGGACAGTTCCACATGGGTCTCCCCGCATCAGAGACTCAACTGGCAAAGGTCAATCTGGCATCTCTCTCTTTCTCAACCCCATGGCTCCTTCCACCAGAATCCAAGCCTCTTTTCACGTCTACAAATCCTGACCCAGCAAGCATGGTCAGCACAGCCTTACCTGTGCTTACTTAATCTTCTGTAGTGAAGAGTTTCACATCTTGGATGCAGTGAAAACCCACACGAAATTGTTCACCCCAGAGGAGAGTAAGTAAGCACGGGTAAGCTCATGCTTACCTCGCCGACTGGATACTCTACCCTGGGGCCAGCCTCCAGGACCGTCCTCCTCCCACTAGTGCTAATACCATCTACCCCTCCTTTGCAGTTCTACCCCAACCTCCTTCCAAAGGCACTTTGAGGCAGCCCCCTTACGTCCATTGAGGTTCTAGGAAGTTCCCCCGAAAATGCTTTCCCTGAGAAATGGACAAGTCTGGTCCTTATTGGTCAACGAGAACTTCACATCTTGCTTTGTTCTGGGCTCTCACTTCTAATGGCCCCATTGGGCAGTACAGAACTGCCCCAAGGGGTTGCCTGGGCTGAAATCTTGACTGGGGTAAGGCAGCAGCCCTTCTCTCCCATGGAGAAGCTGGGGGGAGGGGGGGGTGGTCAGAAGTGCACCTTTGGGGTTAGCAGCTGCGTGCTTAGCCAAGCTATGAAAAGGCCCTGCTTTTGTGTCATTCTGACTCACACTGACCCCCCAAGACCGGGTAGAACGGCCCCATGGAGTTTCCAACGCTCTAATTCTCTATGCCAGCAGACAGCCACAGCTTTCTCCCAGTGAGCCCGAACTGCTAGTGTGGGGGGGGCCAACCATTAACCCTTTGGTTACCAGCTCAACACTTAGCCACGGTGCCACCAGGGTTCCCCTGTTGCCTGACACGAGGCTCCTTACACATGCGACACGTCAGCATGATAGGCTCCACAAGGAAGGTCGAGAACGTAAAAGACAAGGGGAAAGATGGGAATCTCCTCTCAGGGTGGCTACTTGCCCCCTAGTGTGCCAGGTCCTGGGAGTTCGCCCATCAGGATACCAGAGATGAATGACCTTGGCAGCCCATCCCGTTGAAGGTTCCCAGGAGGTCACCCAGCCCAGGCTCTCTCTCGTTTTGTGGCCAATCCGGTTAGGGCCCCACATGATCATCTTACCCACCTAAGACGCCCATGGCCAGGCCTCCCAGGGCAAGCCCCATGACGTTGCCTCTCTCCTGGTCATCGGTGTACACGCTGGCAAGCATGCCCATCCCTACACAGGAAGAGAACCTGTCAGACCAGCCCTGACAACATGGAAGGCAGCAGCCCAGACTCCGTCCTAAACCCGCCCAGTCGACTAAAATACAAATCCAAGCAGATGCCAAGCAGGCCTTGGCACCGTCTCCCGAAGATCCCCACCCTGCGGCATCCCTCGGGTTCATTCTGTCAGAAATCAGCTCTCCAGGGCCAAGTCGGGAGCCCCTTCTGGCACAGCAAAGCCCCCTGCTTCGCCACCCACCACAGCTTACTCAGGAGGCGCCATACCTACCAGCCACGGAGGAGCAGGAGGAGCCGATGCCCTGGAGGGACCTGGCGAGGAGCAGCATGGTGTAGGTGCTGGAGAAGGCAAACACTGCGGGCACAGAGAGCCGGACAGACTGCCTCGGGGCCCTCCCGGGAGGGGGCTCACAAGTCCCTTCCCGAGGGGCCCCTCAGCCGCGTGACTCTTAGCTAGGTTGGGCTTTAGCTCTGTTCAGACCACTCCCCCACAGCTCCTTTCTACAGGTTTCACGGACGCAGAAACACCCCAGACTCTCTTCTGGGGGCCTGGAGCCCCGCTGTCTGAACCCCTAGGGACCCACACTCACAGGGGGGTACATAGCAGACACTTACTAACGGTTGAGATAAACATGATGCAGAATCCTGCAAACATCGGAATCGGGTAGCCGATTCTGCAAAACAGAACCACATGGAAAGGCTGGTCACTGCTGGGTGCTTGTCATTACTGTTTTTGCGAAGGTTTGATCTGGATTCTCTCCCACGGACCCTTTGGGATCAGGCGGAGAAGTGTTTGGTCAACTTTTCTAAAATTTCATATACGTGGTCCGGCCTGCCTGACCTTTTCCTTGTTTGACTGTCTTGGAACATGAATACATTTACGGATTGCCGCTCAGGGCAGACATTTCTCCAGGATAAATGTTAACACAATGTTGCCAAGTGGCCCAGAAGGCATCCCAGGGTTCCTATGGCAGTCGCTTGTTCAAGGACTGACACAGTCGAGTAGAGAGCTTTTCCACAGGGACCATGGCCATCAAACTCGTCCCAGAAGGCGTCCAGTGGCCCCACTGGCAGCAGAGGCAACTGCACTGTCTCTTTGAGGGATTAGGAAGAGAGGAGATTTTAAAATCCACCTTTGGTTTGACCCTCATCGGGCCGGCTTAGAAAGAAAGGTCTTGTTTTCTGTGCAAAGAGTTCAAACCCATAAGTTGCTCTGGAAGACCATGGCCAGGCCGGATGTTGCCATTGGACCTCTGAGGGGTGGTGGGAAGACTTGGCCTTCCGCCCTCCCACACCTGGCAGGAACCTAGCCCGCCACTCCATAGAGGCAAGTCTCCTCTCAGTCCTGTAGAGACCCCCGCCCATCTGAAATAAGTGTAAACTGAGATGGGATACAATCCCCCTCCCCCTCCCACATCCAGTCAGCCTGTGTGTCCATCCATGTATCTACTCGTACCCACAAACACATATAGGCTGAGCATATCTTACATATATTTGCTGCAAATATATCCATGGATGAGGTTGAGCCTAGAGGGGGTAAAGTTAAGAAAACTTCTTAGACATAACCAAACCTCCTGAGGAAAGGAGGGGCCCAGGACCATAGTTTTGGGGGCCACTGGGCCCACCTGGAATAACATCAGCCACAAAGGCAAAACTCCCCATCCTCTATTGATGAGCGACAACTGGGTCTTAGAGATTCATGAGCAGGCATCCAAAGGGGCGGCTCCTGGTCTCCCTTTACCCAGAGGAAAGAATAGTAACAAAACTTGGTGGCACATGGAAGCAATTCGTTCAGTGGACGGGGAGACTAAGCACACAGCAGCCTCCGTGACCCTGAGCCCAGGAGAATTACAGGGTAGCCTGCTCTGACTACCAGCTGCTCTGAACAGGGACACATTAGAAGACCCTAGACAAAAAGGAAAGAAAAATGGGGAACAGAACTCAGAGAGTTTTTGTTTTAATCACACGCACAAAAACACAAAACACCAGCTTACTGGTCAGCTAGGGAGATTGGTTGATTTCTTAGTCACCACTCAGTCTGGAACTGAACTCACCTGATGGGTTAATTTTCAGCCCCCAAATAGGCAGGCCTATATGTTGAGCTGTGATCTGAATGGTTAGCGGTTCGAAACCACCAGCTGCTCCTCGGGAGAAAGACGGGGCTTTTGACTCCCATAATGAGTGGCATTCTCAGAGTCCCACGGGGGTAGCTCTCCCCTGTCCTCCAGGTCGCTTTGAGTTGGCATCAAGTCGATGGCGGTGAATTTGGTTGGGTTATATAACAGGAACACGAACACGAGGGATGTGCACACACCTTCAAACAATCAACTATTTGAGCTCAGAAGGGGAGCGGTGATGCAAAGACCACATTCAGAGGTCCGGGGCGAATAAGGAATGGAAACAGGAAAGAGGGGAGGAAGGGGGATCCGTGACGTCATATCGAGGGGACTGCCATCAGCGAGAGGCAACTGAACAGCTGATGAAGCCGAGTAGAGAATGACAATCTCAAACCTCCCCCGTTCACCAGAAGACGGTGCTCAATGAGCTGGGGCTCCGCCCAGAATGCAGTACAAAGTCAACACCCTATCTGGAAAACCCAACCACCGAAGGGTGAATGTGTCAAGATGGTTGGCATTAAGGACTTACTTCTGTCATTAACTCTCCCTTCCGGTTGTTTATTAAAGTTCTATCACCAAGCCCTTCTTCCATGTCCCTCACAGGCTGCAGTCAGAGACCCAAGGAGTCTCTGGACAAAACTCAGTGGATTACCCCAGCCCCTGCCTGTGGTCAAGCTGCCAGCAATGCTATGCCCAGCCCGCAGCCTGGCCCCTGGTTGGCAACGCTCAGACTGAAACCATCAAAGCTCTTTCTTACCAGGAGAATCCAGAATTTCCCTTGGCCCTAAGGGGAACTGTCATACATGGAATTCTTAGACAGCTGTGAGGTGGATGGTTTTAATCCTGTCAGCTGACAAGATGTTGATGCTCAGGCTCAGGGAAGTTAAGCAGGTAATTTACTCAAAATTCAGGGCCGGGGGTACATCTGGAGGGTCTGAGGTCTGAGGGTGTGCCAGGCTATAATCTCGTGGTACGTCCAGGAGAAGAGGCCCCCAGTGAGTGAGAAGAATGGAAGGTTCTGTTCATTCCAAGGCAAATGGTTCCATGCCTATGTGGTTGTGTGCCTTATAAAGGCTGCTTTTTCCCTAGGCTCTGTAGGAGCCCTGGTGGCACAATGGTTATGCCTTGTGCTGTGATCCACATGGTTGGCAGTTCGAGACCACAGCTCCTCCAGAGAAAGACTGGGCTTTCTACTCTCATAAACAGTTACAGTTTGGGAGACCCCCAGCAGATCACCATGAGTCAGCCCTGACTCGACGGCAGCAAGTTTGGTTTTTCGGATTTGGTGCTTGATTTAGAGGCACTGCGGCAGCTGTTCCTGAGTCCCTTTGGGATCTTGACAAAGCACGTATGGGATTATCAACTGGAATGGCCAGGCAGAAACCACTCTGGAAATAACAGCTCCACCCCACATCTTAAATGAGAGTATGCGCAGTTCCAAGACAAAGAGACCCTTTGCTACAGAGACCACAGGCCTGCACTGCTTCCTCCTCCTTCTGGAAGACACGCACCCTACACTCTCAACATCTGCCCCACTGCCAAGTCCACAGAGCGGGGTCCCAAGGCAAAGACCACCAGAAGCTCCTGGCCCCTCCCTGACCCACCTCTGGAGGGATGTCCAGTGCCCCAGGCCCTGTGAGGAGGGATGGGCAGAATGCCGAGCCCTTTTTCCTGCCCACTAATGCCTCCTAAGTGACAGACACTGAACATTAGTCATAAACGTCTGAGTAGGCCTGCTCATCTCCAGTCAATGTCACCGCAATTGAAATATGGCAATCAGAGCTCATGAGACAAACCTGTAATCATACGGCCCATTCCCCTCCTTTCATGAGTCATCCCGGCCCACATGCATCATCAATGGACCATCAGGTAGCCGCTGATTCAACCTCAGTAAGACTCACCATGATACATCGAAACCCGAGCAAAAGGCATAAGACAGAAGTTGGGTGAATTACACAGGGTGAGGACCAGAACATGATGGGACAGCCTTGCTTGGCAGGGTAGAGTTTCGCCACTCATTGGCCACCCTCTGATGGTGGCAAATCTGTCTGTTTTCCTCCTCTGTAGGTCTCCTGCCCTACCAAGCTTCCAGCCTGCACCCACGCTGTCACCGGGGATGGGGTTGGGGGACCGCTTAGTCCTTAAATCCTCTGGTGAGCGATGCTTTTTCCTCGAATGCTCGTCCCCAGTTTGTTTGCCACAGAGATGAGCCCCAGCGCCATTCTCTGGCTGGCTGAGGCCATAGCCCCTCTGCCGTGAGAAACGTGAAAAGCAGAGTCGGTGTGAGGAGTGGCGCAACAGTCAAGCTCTGGGGTGCCAGCCCAAAGGTCAGCAGTCAGCCACTCCATGGGAGAAGAGCTGGCACCCGGCTCCCATCATGGTTTCAGTCTAGGGTACCCTACGGGCAGTCCTGCTCAGTCGATATGAGTCAGCACACATCACCATGGCCAGAGGGGACATTCACCCTTCCCACTTTCCTAACATGCTACCACACGGTGGCACCGCCGCCATCAGTCGACAGGATGGTGGTTTACATGGGAGAGGACACGATCGAAATGCGACTGTCCATCATGCAGTATACGAGAAAGAAAACTCCTGAGTCTGCCTGTCTCTGACAGTCATCAGACGCGGACAGTGGACAGAGCCTTGGACTTCCTGCAGCTCCAGAGGTCAGTCCTGCTCGCTCACACACAGACAGCTCATGGGGAGGAGAAAAGCCCTCCTTCCACAGCCAGTCTGTTCAGACTCGAAGCTGCTGTCAGGCCCGCTGACGACGTCGAGGACGGAAAATCCCCCTCCACACCAGCTGGAGCTGAAAAGGTCACTGCTTATTTCCGCGGAGCCCACTGCAGCCCAAACGGCTCTCAGCAGAGAGGGACAAACCACCATGGTGGATTGCCTAGCACCTTCGTGTCCCGTGGCTTCCCCTTGTCACTCAGATGTTAGCCAAGATATGTGGCGGTGGGTGGGGAATCATTGGCTTTCAAATATACTAGGTAACTATGGAAATAAATTAAGCCACTGAGGCTGGCTTGATAAAAAGCAGACCATTGAAACAATGACAAGCTTAAGAGGAAGGGCGGGAGTGGGGGTGGGGGGCTGGTTCCTGAGAAGGGAATTAACTCTTTCCCAAGCCAGCTGGTCTGTGAAATAGATCTTAAGGCTTTAAAGATGCAACTACTATTGAGCACCCTGGGCTAAGCCCTCGAAGAACACACTGCCACCGTGGTTCTACAGAAGAGAGCGGGGACGAATTTAAAGGTGCTTCATGGTTTGAATACCTCAGTCGGTCCTTCTAAGTACCAACGACCAAGCCCAACTCACTGCCCTGGAGTCCGTTCCAACTCAGTGATCCCAAGAGAACAGAGGGGCACTGGCCCTATGGGTTTCAGAGCCTGTACGCCTTTATGGAGCAAGCCTCGTCTTCTTCTCACAGAGTCCTTGGTGGGTTCGAACTGCTGACCTTGTGGTTAGCAGCCCAGCACATAACCAGCTATGACACCAAGGCTCCTCCCTTTCGTGTACGTATGTGCAACAATCCCTTCCTGAGGCCAATGCTAACAGGTGCTGCGCAGTGAGTCCCCTCTGCCACCTTGCGTCGGCACACGCCATCGTGAAATGAAGAACGACTCCGGAGTCCTCAGGAGAGGCACAGGAGCCTCAAAGTCCGTTTGGAAACTGTACCCAGGTGATCCAGAAGCACCCCGAAATCAACAGCTCTTATTGTCCACCCCGTCCTCCATCCCCAGCTCCCATATTTTTCCAGCCCCTGCAGGGCTGACTCCCTGTCGTCATCCCCGTCAGTCTCTTCCCAAGATCCGCTGCTGTGTGTTTCCCGGGCTTTGCATGAGCTCATAGCTACGACTTAAAATTGAGTATTTGTAGGGTTCGTCCACAAAACCCACCGACACGGGGTTCAGAATCAGAGGGGTCCAGGTTGTGATGTCGAGTCCTGGTGGCAGACAGGGGTGCTAGACAAAAGCACCAGCAGCTCCAAGGGAGAGAGCAGGGGCCCTTTTTCCCTACCCCTGTGAAGAGTTACAGTCTCAGAAAGTCACAGGAGCAGTTCCACCCTGTCCTGTGAATCAGCATTGATGCGATGCCAGCCAAAGATTGTGATGTGGGGTTATCTCATTTCAGAGCTCAACTTAGTAGGGTTTAGGTCAGGCAGACTCTAGCCTGCCTGACTACAGGCAGCCCCCCTGTAGGGGAGCTCGATCAGGCTACCCCAGGGGTGGGAAACGGCAAAATTTGTACTGGGTTGAGAGGAAGATTCACGCCCAAAGACCAGGCTGAGCTCCCGCTGATTCAAAGTGCAATCCACACGCACTACTCCCTTCACCTGTGCAGCCTGATCCAAGAAGGGGAGCCAGGTGGATGCAGGAAAGACAGAGCGGGCCTGTATTGTTGGTGGTGGCGAAGAGTCGAGGCCATGCCACAATCCAAAACCCCCACTAGCCCCAGTAGCAGGACCGCCCCCATAGAATAGTCCAGACTGTCAATCTTTGCAGAAGCAGACTGCCACATCTCTGTCCCACAGCAACTGCTAGGTGCAAACCTCCAACCTTTGGTTTTGCAGCCAAGTGAGCAATCACTATGCTACCCACCTCGGCCATCGTTTTGATACTTAGCAACCCCACAGGGCAGTGGAAAACTGCCCCCTGAGGGTCTCCAAGACTGGACATATTTCTGGGAGGTAACAGCCTCGTCTTCCTCCCTCAGAGGGTGGGCGCCAACCACCTACCTGATGGTCAGCAGTCTGGCACGTAACGCTCTGGGCCACCAGGGTCCCTACATATGAATCAGCAAACAGGAAGGACAAAGTTTGAAACCCAGCAAGACAGTTGGGACACTGGCCCGGCCCAGTCACTAGCAGGCAAACCTCCTGCCTCCCAGAGCTGGGCCCTCCTGAGCCTGTGGGATACTAGGACTGAACCCAAAGCATCTGTTTTTGCCAGAAATGCCTAGTAACTGACTTCAGAATGCCACACTAACTCGCTTGTTTTCAACACTGAACGGGGATGATGATCTCCCCCACTTCACCTTGCTGGGGTGTCACTGGCCCGAATGACCTCAACCATATGCAAACGGCTGATGAGAAGACGCTGAGAAGGCAAGCGGACACATTTGGCCCTTCTCTGCGGCGCTTTCTACCCAAACCGAGGAGAGAAGCAGCCGTGGAGCTGAAAACCCTCCAATGCATTTCTATCTGACCTGGAAGAGTGACAAATTGCTGGCCGCGCCAGTGCGGCAACGACCGTGGAGCTCACACAACTGCCTCCCCGACTCTTGGCATCAAAATGTGTGTCCGTTCCCACATCGCAAAGCGGCAACAGGAGGTACACGCCTTCTCGCAATTTGCTGGGGATTCGATCGATGGGGGGGTCTAAGTAATTGCCGAAGAGCTTCACGCCCCCGCCCGGAGGGTGCAGCGTGCAGGTCACAGGTGCTGGAGCAAACCGAGCTTGCTCCCAGCACACAGTTTGCTTGTTAGGGAGTCCCAAACGTGCGCCCTGTCAAGCCTGTGGAGTGTTTAGCAGGGACTTTTTTAAACTCGCTGTTTTCCTGAGGCGTCGAGGACTGAAAACAAGAATGAGATCTTTTTTGGTCAGCTTTTCATTTTCCATTTGCCTCTGGAAGATTGGAATACTCCCATCGGTTCCGTTGAGTTTCTAAGTATTACCCTGTAACGCCAGGAACACTCACGCCCCATGATTGGCAAGGCATTATGATGATAATGTCCTCAATTTTCCTCAGTAGTATTGGAGCTGTTTGCTTTCTGGGAATACAGAACCACGAGCCCGTTTTCTGTAATTATACCAGATGCACTTTAAAGAGGGCTCTTCGTCTTGGAAGAGAAAACAACCCCACAGCTACTCAGGTTGGGCTGGTTGTCCTCCCGGGGGCTGGAAGAGCTCCCAAATGTCACCATGATGATGTGGCTGATTGGGGGCTCCCAGTTCGTTAACTCGGGGCCCATTTGTTCAGCTGTGGCTTCGTGACAGTGTTGGACACCAGCAAGAGGGCCAGGCACGGTCAGGGTGGTGACGGTCGTTTCTGTGTCCTGCTCCATTCAGACAAAGGAAATTGAATGGGCCTGCGGCCGACCTTTCTGATCCCTGCCACCACCCCCAGCCCCTAGGACTGACTTCGTGGGTTCACCACCTATGCACTCACACAGGGCCTCTGCTCAGAAGAACCCACATTTGGTCGAATGCTCTGTGGTTCCCCATCCTGAAATTCTTCATCAAAACAAAAGACAGACCCAGGCCACCGAGTGCATTTTGACTCACAGCGACCCTCTATCGGGCTGCCGAGGCTGTGAATCTTTAAGGGAACAGACAGCCTCGCGTATCTCCCTCCACGAGGCTGGCGAGCTAGCACTTCAGGTCCCTTGACATTCTTAATAATATTTTTAAATTCCCAATAATATTTGAATAAGGGACTGCTTTGGGCCCCCAAATTTCTGTCTGAGGGGGCTTCAAAATGTTCAGGGAAAAGACAGAGTGAAAAGATAATGCAATTTTCCCATGACACAGCCAATCCTGTTACCCACTCCCCACGCCAAAGCCTGGGTTATTATTAAGAAGCCCACCCTGCTTCCAGCACTGGTAGCATACTGGATTTTGAGTTGGGCTACAACCACAAGGTCAGCAGTTGGAACCTACCCGGCCTTCCAAATGAGAAAGATGAGGCTTTCGGGTCCTGAGAAGATTTACAGCCTCAGAAGCCCACAGCAGCAGTGCCACTCCACCCTATGGGGTCATCATGAATCAGAATTGACTCAGTGGCAGTGGTTGCTGCGTTTTTTTTCCCCCCTAGCCTCCAGCCTGCTCAGCTGACACATTCAAAATTATAGATGGCTCATTTGATTCTTCCGCTTGGCTTCAAAAGCTCTGGCAGTGCCTAACAGTCCAGCACAAGCCTATTCCCCTATCTAAATTAGCATCGTATAGTCCAGCCCAGCCCCAGCCAGCCAGTCAGTCCCGCCTTCCCAGTCTGCAGCCTCTCCCTTCCTTCCTCCCCTGTTCTGGTTGGTCCCTCATCGTTGCCTAGGTTCATGCTTTTGGACGCAGCTCACAGGCCAGACCCTTGCCTTCCCTTCTCTGGTTTGCTATGGGGTTTGGTTTGGTTCTTTGCATTCATTCATCTGGGGCTGTTCACAAGGCAGCCTACCACCACCCACCCCAGTTCCCTCTTCTTGAGCTAACATTTTTGGGAGACTGCTTCCTCCCCTCAACCGCCAGCACCTTGGGACACAAACTTCCATTCTGTCCTCTGCTTTGAATCACTAGGTGCCAGGCAGAGCTGGGCCAACTCAGCTGTAGACGGACATACACTGGCCGGATAGTCACCGAGCACAGGCAGGTGAATATATTTTTTTTAACCCTGATGATCCACATTCGTATAGAGGCGGTTTGGGCAGTTTCCATGCTGCAGACAATGGTGTCAGGCACCCTGTCTTTTGTGCAAGTGGACAAAGTGAAGTAACTGGCACTTCAGTGACCATCACCTTACACATGACCTCAGTATCAGGTATGAAGCTCATCTATGCACCAATATCACCCATCACCCATCTTTCCCAGCATGCCCCACCTGGCCTTTAGCAGGCAAGCTCTACAGAAAACCATCTGGCTCTCTATAAGAACGAGCATCGACCAGCAGGGGTAAGAGGAAAAACCAGCTGGCACATGCAGTCCAGTGACAGCCAGCATCTGCAGAGTTCTTGCTGTCCAAGAGTGGCTTGGCCAAGGTATTATGGAACTCTGCTTCCAGATAAAACCAAGTTCTCCCATTAGGGGAGGCCTTCTTGACTCTCTTCTGACTTTTCCGAGGGAGGAGTGGAAAGGTGGAACCAAGTGGGAAACCATGACCATGAAGGACAGACAGACAGCAGGGGAAGGAGGCTGGTCTTCCTCAACTCACCCAATAAGGAGCTCTGACTCTGAGAAGTCAAGGAGAACCAGTGGGGGGCAGTGGGTAGGAGGTGGGGGGCTTAGAAGGCAGGATGCAGAAAGATAACTTACCTGTTGGTCAGCATTCCTATGAAAGGGTTGGTGAGGAGCTGGACCGTGGCTTTAGAAGCAAACAGCAGGCCCACCTGCACGTTTTCATTCAGGAGGTCTTTGTCTTCCCTGGGGCAGTCGGAAGGGGTGGTGGTCGAGTTGGTCACCATTTGCTCAGTGGTGGTCTTATGCAGCTGTCTCGACTGGGAACCTCCAGTGGCGTTCCTGGTGACCATAATGGAGTTGTCGTAATAGGAGAAGATGCTCTCAAAGCTACCTGTGGTCGTGGGTGTGAGCACTGGCTTGCCAGTCTGGATTTCTGTCGAATTTTTCTCATGCTTGATGCTGTACAAGTAACTGGGGATGATGGGTACTGAGGATGAAGCAAAACAGGAAGTGGTGATTACCCTGCAATGCAGCCCCCCCTCACCCTGACCCCTCCCCACACCCAGGAACCAAGACTGCCAAGACGAGTTGGGTCAACTTCTGAACACAGTCCAGTAAGGAGTCATGAGCAGCAAGAGGGGACCCCTACCTCCCACCCCAGGCCGCCTGTAGCCCTGAGCTAGGGATAAATTCGAATTGCTTAGTTCACCAAAGGGAACACAGCCCCAAGCGGAGGGGTTAATTACACAGGAGAGAGCCCCTATAGGGTGGGGGCTGTTTCATCTCCTTTGCCAACAACCCCAGCCCCAGAGATCTCTTCTTCCCTCTCCATTTGTGGAGTTTCTCGTTGTGGTTCCTTCAACAGGAATCTTCTCAAAAGCCAAATTAGTTCTGACCTGACTGAGGCCAACCTGCATTTCTCCGAAAGGGAGTCTCCAACGCAGTTTAAATGAATGAGTCAAGGAAGCAGAACCCGACATTTTATTAGACAATTACTAGAAAATAATAACCGGAAGTATGTAATCTTTGGAGATTCTGCAGCAGGCCATGACCCTTCATCTCTCTGACGCCTGAGCGAGCGCCTGCACTTCTCATGCAGCCTGGATGGTTAAAGAATCCCAGTGATGTTGGAAAAGGAAAAGCCACAGTAGTTCATGGACATGTGACAGTGGAGCATACAGGACAAAGGCGTGATGAGACCACTGTCACTGAGCTGGGCCAGACAGCCACTCACTTGGCCTTGGACACACCTTTCATTGAAAGCCTAAGATGGGCTCTGAGAACTGTGTCCTCAGCAGTCCCCACCCACCCCACCCCCTCACAGGCAAGAATGGGGCCCTTCTAAGAACACAGGTTCACTAGGCGTCCAAATGAGAAATGACTTCAGGCATTACAAGCAGGGATTTTTAAAGGAAAAGCTTGGCCAGG